TGACTGAGAATCATGTTAGACATGTCAACTGAAAATTGGTTTTCATAAATACACATGAACTAGAGCCCTGGGCATATTTTTTTGAGAAGCTTAAAAATACACTTTTTTTTTCTTTTAAGAAAGCAGGACTCTCCCTCCTGATGATTACTGTCTTCTTGTTTGTCCTCTTACTTTTCTTTGTGACAAGTTTTACATTTTTTTATGTTTTTATTAACTTCTGTGAAGTTGTTTACTCTGAAAATTGTACTGGAATATTTTAAGCCAAGCTGATCTTTCACCAGGTGTACTGCATGTAAGGGCTTTTCCTGCTAGCAAAATGCTTAAAGAGGATCATGTTACTGGTCGTCTGAGTTGTTATTTTACAAAATCACAGCTATGTGGTCGGGTAAGATTTTGATAACTGTTTTGTGCACGCTTCTGGGGGGTGGGGGTTGGCATTTCCCTGAGGGTTACTGATTAGACTAAGTAAATATTGGTGTTTGATATCTCTCCTAATGAACCTGTCCATGAAATAATTATGTTGTAAATATACCTGCAAATCCAAGGGTTAGTTTTGATATTCTGGTGTCAGTATGGAAGATCTTACACATCTATTTAATACTCCAACGTCAAGGAATGTATGTAGAAAAACAGTCAAGTAGTCTTTTCTTAGTTTCCTTTGGCTGTTGCTGTACCTTCTCCAGCCAGTGCCACCTCACTTTAGGGTTAGACTGACGCTTTGTTTCACTTGCTACGTGAAGTGAATGGATACAAGAACCAGACCACCTTTGTCACCTTAACTTATTTCCTATTGATGTTAACTTTAACTTAGAATGTTAGACATAAATATGATTGTTGTATATTTTATACCAAGACCATTCTGTAAATATGAATTTATATTACTTTTGAAATGCTTCTGAGATACTATTATTTGCTGTACAATGTAATTCCAAAACAGATATGCAAACAAGTATGTCTCTTTCATGGATATTTAAACAGTGAGATCTTCCATGTTGAAGGTGATGTAATTTTTTTAAAAGATTTTTAAATTTTAAATTGCTATTTTGTTACAAAAATAGAGAAAATATAAAGGTTTGAGAAGTCCTTATTTGCCCTCAGGGAAAGAGCCCTCTGTGCACCAGAACTCCACAGAACATCTTCAGCATGATCTGAGGGTGAATATATACTACATAAATTGATTGTGTATTTACCTTAACTTTTTAATTTTAAAATGGCAATTTTAAAAACTTGGTTGTGCTCTGCTGGAGGGGATTGGGATAAGCTGCTTACACACATTTGCCTGTTTGTCCAGTGAAATGACATAAGCCTGACATTATTCCTGCCAAGGTCTTGGCACGTTTATGAACAAATGTATCTCTAGACTCTTGTCTGCAGCAGGAGGTCCCGTGATAGAGCAGTTCTCTAGGATGACCATATACTTCATATGGAAAGTTGGTTCTCAACTGAGGCTAGAGTTTTCTAGTTGAATTTTTAACCTATAATGACAGGCAAAAGAAATATTTGGGGGTTTAACAGCATGCCAGCTTTGTGTTATGGTTTTAACACTGACTGTGTGGTTTTTGCCATGAAACTAATGCCCTCCAGTGCCCTGACAGGGAGAAGAAGCTGCAGGTGGGAACACCTGGCTCTGGCTTCCTTCTTTATTGAAGTTTCAGCCCTTGACCCTTTACAAACAAGTATGTATTCATTTGTTAGTTGTAAATCAGGTGCCTTTGGGCTGTGGAAGGGCTTATTTTCTGACACTTGAGAGAGAGTGACTTACCTTTGTGTGTCAATAGCAGCGATGCCCATTTAGGTTTTGGCCTAACTTACTGAGCTGTCAGAAAAGAAGGCCCGGAGCAGATCGGAGAAAGAGATTGGCTCTTTTGCTTTGCTTGGACAAGCATTTTGGGTTGGTTTGGTTTGGTTAATTTTTTTTTTCTTTTTCCCCATTAGGGGTACAGCAGGGATTTCACATGCAAGAGAGACAGGAATTATTAGTATCTAAGTTAATTGTGTTGCCTCGCTACCTGGATTCATTCCTTGGTTTGCCTCATTTCCCACATAGGTCTTAATAGAGACTAATGCTTGTGCTGGGAGAATGCTTGTGTGAGAAAGTAACTATCTGTACATTCTTAACATATACTTAGAGCAGAGTGATTGCCCTGCTACAGATATTTTGTTCCTGTAAACAGGTGACAAGAAATGAATCTTAGTGTTTATGCAGATTTTGCATTGTAGAATGTATACTAGACCCTTCAAAGGCAAGGTTAGACTCTTTGCAAAGCAAACTGGCGTTGGTTCTTGGTAGTCTAGTACAGGGACACTAAAGTTTGGCATTTGATTTAGGTAAAAGAAAACAGTTGTACACAGCTGATTATGTTAAATAAGCTYTTAATTAAGCTCTTTGTAGAAGTCTAATTTGGAAGGTTTTAGTGCTTTGATAACTCAATGGAAATTTTAATTTCTCCTGTACTCAAGAGCTGAATGCTGTTCTTGTATAATAGTGTACTAGGCTGGATGAGGTACAAAATAATGCACAGTGGTCAGAAACAGCTGAGGAAAGAACGCTTAAAATAACTCAATCTAAACTCAGAATAGTTCCAAACATTGGTTTTGTTTGCTTTTTTAAAGCACAAGTTGTCAAGTTGTACCTGTTGCTGTACATAAACACTGTATGCCAGCAGCTCCTTGATCATATTTGTGAACAGACTTTTCATTAATTATTAGACTGGTATTAAAGGAAGGTGTTGGATTTGAGAGTGTAACAAAATGAGAAATGATCAGATGATCTRTAGGATGTAAAASTCCATTTTTATGTTGTAGTTTAATCCCTTTGTTAGGAAGTTCCCTCTCACTGAGGGACCTCTTCTGCAAGCAGAACACAATAAATGTGTTTTTTTAAATGACCCAATTTCCCAGTGTAAATGAACAGCTGACTTTGGCAGTAGTCATCCCCCTGCATCTCTTTGCTGGCAAGGGAGCAGGACCAGGGGAAAGAAAAACCCCGAAACTGTCAGTGATAAGATGAAACAAATCTGAATATTCAAAGTGCCCAATGCCCAAACACAATTCTACGCCCCGTTATTTAAGGATGCTTGTGGAAGCTTTTAATCACTCGAGATTCTGCTGTAAAAGCTGAAATAAAGCAGAGCCTGGCTGCGTTTCTACCGCCAAAAGCCAAGGTCATTTGCACATAGCCCATGGATTTCTCCAGAGTAGATCTCCGTTACCCAAGGCATGGGAATGCATGCGTTTTCTTAGCTGGGCAAACAAGTACATTATACAGTAGTTGTGATACAACACACGTGGCTTTGATTTGTACTGCACATACCCACTGTACAGCCACTCCGAAGTATTGTGGTTAGCTTGCAGCATCTGCTGTCGCATTGATACTGTTTACTGCGTATTCTTTTCCCTGGAAGTTTTAAAGAAAATTTTTTTTTCTTGTTGCATTGATTACATTTTATAAATTTGCTTAGCTGGAAAGTTTGGGAAAAGAGGCCTGTTTGTCAATTGTACAACCGATTGTGAAGCTCTAGTGTGAATATTTTTACGTCTGTATTAGACATTTTCTTTGCAAATCTATTGTTCGATTGAAATGTAAATGAAATAAAAGATGGTGTACACCCATCATGTATAAAGCAGGCACCATCGCTACGATGGATTTAATGCTCATTTTTATGGCGCATTCTCAGCTTCTATTTAAAACTATAATTTAAAGAAAAAAAAAATCTGTAAAATGAAATGGGGATATATGGGGGAGTAAATTCTATTCCGTTTATTTCGGTTTTGATTCCCAATGGTAATGTTTCCCTTCGTGTTAGAGTAGGGGGGTCCCGGCGGGGCCCGTGTGTCGCTGTAGCACTGACGTGCAGAGGTTGTAGCTTTGGCTGGGCACGGATAGAGCATCCCGGTTCGGTGTTTGAGAGACTCGATGGAAGAAGTTTGCAGTATTGACATGTATTTGCATGCACGAATAAAAATTATTTGTCCACCTTAACGGGCTGTTTGTCGTCAAGGGGGCTGGCGGGCGGGGGGGTTCGGCCGGGACCGGGTCC